GGCAAGCTCCTCCTGTGCGATTAACTGCCTCTGAAAACCCACTGGAGACTCGTCTACGGGTTGGTTCCAGCTCTGCGGTATACAACCACCCCCCCCACCCCCACCTCCACCCCCACTCATCTTCAATCTGGAGCTGTACTGACCCGCTGGATTTGAATTGCTGGAGGAGTGCAGTGTTTGGGTTTGCTGTGACACTCCCAACGGGCTACAACAGCACAGCGCCCTGCACTGTAAGGCTCGCTCACCCCCTATCACGTCAGGTTGGCTCCAACTCATAGGTGACCCTTCAGTGAGTTTTCAGAGGTTTAAATCACACGGGAGGAAACTGCCCGTTTTTCTCCGGAGCAACTAGTGGATTAGAACCACCTGCGTGTGGGTTGGCAGCATAACTCCCTACTCACCCATCAGAGGTAAGGTATTATGGGCCATCTAGAGACGAACTGGAAGGGAGCTGTGGTGGCGTAGTGGTAAGGAGCTGACTGCCAACCCCAACAAGGAGAAGTATGGGCTGTCTACTCCTGAGAGGTTTACTGCTCTGAGCCCTGCTGGGGGAGGGTCCACAACAACAAACAGCAGAGACGGCGTCGTGTGTGAGCATCCTGGAGAATCTGTGATTCCCCTTCCAGACACTACAGCGGAGCCGTTCCCAGGAACGTGAGGCACACAGGCTCCCTCGGTCCCCAGAGCCTAGAAGGGTCGTTTGCACTGTCTGATAAGCGTGCAGTTGTTGTTGGTGTTGTGAGCCGGCAAGCTGGAGCCGACCCATGGCTGACCCTCCAGCAGAGGCAGTAAATCGCACAGGAGATACCAATCTTTCTCACACGGGGCAGCTGGCAGATTCAAACCACGTGCCTTCGGGTTGGCAGTGCAACTTCTTATCATTAAGCCACTGAGGTCCGCAGATGTGCAATAATGTTATGAAAAAGTTTGAAATATTATGAGAAACACCAAAGGGTGACACAGAGACATGAAGAGAGTGTGCGCTGTTGGTCAATGGTGCCCACGCACTGGTACTGGACGCAGGGCTGCCATGGACTTACGACTGTAAAAACACAGCGTCTGCAAAGTGCACCAGAGTGGAGGACCATCAGTAGGGGCGGGCTGCCTGCCTGCCTGCGGGAGGGGAGGGGTACGACAGCCCGCCTGCAGGAGGACGTGCAAGGAGGTTCTATGCAAATCCCGTGTCCTTGGAAGCAGCATCCAAGAAAGAAAGATACTGCACTAGACACATCTGCTGCAAAAGACTTCTTTAAAGTGCGAAAGCGCAAAAATATCACTTTAAACCCTAACGCGTGCATGACCCAAGCAGGACAGAGCCTTACATGCACGGGGAAGTTGAGCAGTAAGACAGGCAGAAGGACTGAAGCCCTTGATGTGCGGTGCTGGCCAAGAGCACTGCCTGTACCCTGACTACAGATACCAAGACCCTGCTTTACAAGTGCGGCCAGAGTGCGCCGTAGAAGCAGAGAGTGAAGTTTCATTTCAGGCAGTCTGGACACGTTAGGAGGTGATATGTCCTGAAGAAGGGCATCATGGTCCGCAAAGCAGAGGGGCAGCAAAAAAGAGGAAACCTCTCAGCGAGATGTGCTATGGCAATGACGACAGCCGTGGGACTGGACACTGAGGAACAGTGCAGGGCTGAGACGGCCCCTCCGTGATGGCAGCCGTGGGACTGGACACCGAGGGACAGTGCAGGGCTGGGACGGCCCCTCCGTGATGGCAGCCGTGGGACTGGACACTGAGGGACAGTGCAGGGCTGGGACGGCCCCTTCGTGAGATGTGCTGTGGCAGTGACGGCAGCAGTAGGAGCAGTGGGGCTGGACACCGAGGGACGGTGCAGGGCTGGGATGGCCCCTCCGTGATGGCAGCCGTGGGACTGGACACTGAGGGACAGTGCAGGGCTGGGACGGCCCCTCCGTGATGGCAGCCGTAGGACTGGACACCGAGGGACGGTGCAGGGCTGGGACAAGTGGGACCCGGAGTCGGTTCAGCTGTACCTTACAGCAACAACACTTGCATTATGTAAGAGACGTGGGCATCATGGATTTAGGTGTCCATGTGGGGTCCTGGAACCAGTTCTCTGAGGAGACTGAGGGACAACTGTAACTCAGTTTATAGCACTTGCTCCTTCCAATAAAACAAGATGATGATAATGATTGCTAGTAAACACAATCCACTCAGCACTCACAGCCACCGATTTGCGGCTCTGATCGAGAGGATGTGTGTGGGTATATTTCTTTTACCAAGGACCTAATTATACACTTCATATATGCAAAACCCAACGAATCCCCACCCACCGCCTTCTGGTCAATACGGGATCATGGCGACCCATCACTGGGTTTCCAGGCTGGAAATCGGAACGTGAGCGGACTGCTACATCTTTCTGTGGGTGGAGTGGCTGTCGGATTTGAACCAGTCATCTTTCGGTTAGCAGCCCAATACACAGCTCTCTACACCACCACCCATCTCTACCCCTGACAGCCTGTGTGGAGATAGACAGGGTATATCTGTTCCACTTCAAAATGTGAGACAAGCCTGGGGCTGAGGGGCCTCCTTCGGTGGCGTCTCCCGCCGGGGAGGACCTGCAGTGTGGAGGCCTGGACTGACTGCAAAGCCTATCTTTGTCCCTCCAGCCTCCGGCTGCCGGGTGGTGGCAGGACAGGTCCCAGTTCGGCAGGACCTCAAGAGCTCTCGGCCCAGGAGAATTCCTGAGCCCTGACTTTGTGTCTATTTTTATCAAGGCTGCAGATGAGCAGAGCTGCGCGGGGAGGGCTCGCATGCCTCTCATTCCTTTTGCGGTCACCAGTGACCTGGAAGCAGGCCTGCGATTCGCAGTTACCTCTGCTTGGCCTCACGTCCATACAGACATAAATGGCCATCTTCACAGGGGGGACTCGCCTCTAGTCACTGTGTTCGGCAAAGGGCTAGGTTTAGGCAATCGGAAGAAGTGACTGGTGACCTACTTCTGAATAACTAGCCACTGAAAACCCCACTGTGTGCTCTGACACACAAGGGGGCGCCATGCGCTGGGATCAACTTGTCAGCAGTTGGTTTTAGGAGTCCTTGGTTAAGCATGGGGATGGTTTACAAATGGTTGGCAGTTCGCACCCACCAGCCACTCCTATAAAGACTCGCTGTGTTGGGGCCCCGGCGGGCCTCCCGACTCTACAGCGTTTCCAAGTGTTTCTTTTGAGGGGCACAAAGGGTTCATGCTAATAGACAGTTTGGAAGTTCAAGTCTGCCCAGAGGTGTTTCAGACCAAAGGCCTGTGACAGCTGGGTCATCGAGAGCTGGAGGCATGGACTCGATGGCATGGGGTCTATTATGTGCCCCACAGTTCCCTGTCAGAGCATCTACACCCCCCTAGGCTCGGTGTGAAGCCTCGGGGACACAACTGTGTGGTGTGTGGGCTAGGTGTCGCCTGCTAATATCCACGAGGCAAGGTGACCACTTGGGGGCAGAGAGGACAGCTGGGAGGCAGGTGGAGACCAGAGCCCTGTGATGGCATCAGGTGGGAGAAGGGAGCCCACACGTGGCAGGGATGAGCGGGACTATTTCCAGAAGGCCCTCCCCCCGAGAAGGGCAGGCAGCAAGCCCTGCGTGCATGGAAGGAGAGTCAGGAACTTAGAGAGGAAGACGCCCCCAAGCCCAGCTCTGGCAGGTTCGCAGTGGCTGACTTTTCAAGGGGAATGCCAGCCCTTCCTTCCGAGACACTTCTGAGTGGACTCAAGTCTCTGGCTCCTGGGTGAGCAGGGAGTCCACCCACAGCCAGGGACGCCTCCTGCAGAAGGGACCCTAATAAAGACCCAAGGATGGGATGCTGTTAGGAGTCACAGGTGGATAAACCCACATGAGCCCCTGTGTCTGAGAACAGACCCAAGCTTCCTAGGCTGCAAACTCCAGGAGCCCATGACCTGGGGTCTCCACCACAGGGCAGGCTGGGGGTAAGAACTTCTGTCCACTGCTCAGCACTTGGCCACAGCACCACCAAGCTCCCTGAGCCATTCGGGCCCACAGCCATTCCACAGGGCACCCACAGCTGGCCCACAGAGTGGCTCTGGGGCAGCGGGTCTCTCGGTGTCCACAGCTGTAATGTTCACGTAGCAACTGGTGAGTTCGAACCGCCCACCCTTTGGTTAGAAGCCCCAATGCCTTGCCCAGAGTGTCACCAGTGCTCCTACTCTTTGGCCAGACACTCCTGAGGAATCCTCAGAAGTTTCTCCCGGTGGGGATGACGGATGGACACACACCATGCGCACACCGAAGGGGACATCAGCGGAGGTCCCGCTGCATCAGGAGTGACCCTCTGGAAGAGGTGTTTTCCACGCCCGCCCCGCACAGCCCCATCGAGGGCTCCACTCGGCTGCCGGTGGTTCCCGGCCCGCGCGGCTCCACGTGGGAGGAGCAGCCCGGCCGTGGGCGCGCAGCGGCGGCCGAGTTCACCGCCGACCAGCTCCTCTCCCTTGAACTCTGCCCGCAAACCTCGGGGACGCCAGGAGCGGCCGTGCCGACCTCAGGGTCGTCCGGAAGCGGGGTTCCGAGTGATCCCGCGCGCAGACCACACTGTGCCTTCCGTCACGACAGGGAGCTGTCCCCACAGGCCTTGGGCGCACTGGCAGGACCATGTGGCCCGGGGAGCGCACACTGTCTCCATGGGTGGCCTGCCCTCCGCGCCCACGACCACGACGCGGCACAAGGAACAAGAAGCAGCGGCCCCCGCCTCCGCGCGGCCACCCTGGAGCCAGCTGGGTCCCCAGCCCGCTGGCTACGGGGGCGGCGGCCGGCGAGGCCTGGGGCGGGGG